CGTATGATTTCAAATAGAAGAAACCGAATGTCTCTAACTCTGGTTAGTCCGGGGTGGGGTGGGGGGTGCGGGAATTTCAAAAATAGTTAATTTTCTATTTTTTACGGGTTTGGGAACCCAGTTTTGCATTTTAACTAAGTTCCAATATAAAAGTTATATCCCACTTAACTTGAAAGCCAAAAAAATCACATTTGTTCTACCAAATACCTGAATTGAAATTAGAGATAAATTGGTCCCGGGGTTTATGAGTTATGATCGGACAAAGAAACAGACAAAAATATTGTATAATTATAGATTTTGTTAAAAAAGATATTACTACTTTATTCTGAACAATATTCTAGGTTACAGAAACCTTGAGAAAGTTTGAGAAATCTTTGATAATTTCTCTCAAGGAGAAAGGCTGGGACGGAAAAGAAGAGGAATCAACGGTAATTAGTAATTACTAATTTCTAATTAGTTACTAGGGTTGAATTTGTGAAAAAAGATTCACCGTGGGTTAAATGTTTAAAATTTTTCCGAATAATTTAATATGTCGAGCCACTGCTCTAATAAGGGGTTGATTATCTAATTTCTCAAAATATAAAAAGTATTCTCCTTAGTTAAAATAGGTTGCAAAAGAATTTTAAAATGGCCGACAACAAATTCTTTATTTGTTTGAAATTGCGGATTTCTCTCGTGGGATAGAATTTATTTTCAAGGCTGTCATTGGTCAATATAATTTACGAACTATATTCCTGCACTCTCATTGGAGAAAACAATGTACGGATATCCAAAGAGAGAGAAAAAGAGTGGGTTAAGGACTGAAATTAATAGTTTCCGCAGGGATATTCGGATTAAGTTGTTGAGGATTAAAGGTTATTCATTATAAAGTTCTCAGCTCGGTTTCAATAATGTTTGACCCCGAAGTTTGAATTCAAACATGAAGTTTAAATGATATAACGCTATTAAAAGGTTTTAAAGGAACTATTTGTCTTATCTTAAGTGAAACCGGAATCTGATAAATGCCATGGAAGATAACGTCGTTTTTCTTCCTTGAAAAGTAATTATCCTGATAATTTCTTCATTAGTTTCAAAAGCAAGAAATGTACAAATCACTTTTGCAGAGGACCCACAAATGAAAGTTAACACTAAATAATGGAAACAGAGCTTTAAACTTTCGAACTGGAAACCTTTAATCCCAATTGCTTAATCTGAATATCTACTGTGGAAACTTTTAATTTTAATTCTAATCCGCTCTCATTGGATATCACATTTCATACAACATGTACAACATGTACAACATGTACAACAGCTACGGTTTATTACAAATACAGATATGATGCTATATCGATTGGACTAATATCTGATTGAACTAAAGTCAGTTGTTTACAGTCGCCTTTTAGAGCATTTAAACAAATATAACTTTAATCACGTTTGAGGACTGCGAGTCCTTTTGAATGTTAGTCTTAGTAAACATTAAACTAAAACTTACGTTCGTTCAATCGATCATTAGTCCAATTGACATGACACCACAAATGCGGGAAAAATAAAACCAGGTTTTAAAAAGTCAAAGAGCTCTTCTCTTATTTGAAGACTAAATTAGTCTCAAGATTAGGAAAAAGAGGGAATGAAGCACTGATCTCGATATCCACCATTCTTAAGTTTTCAGCTCTGCCCTTTTAAAGAATTCAGCACTTGTTACAAACTCCAGTTTTCTAATCTTTATATCGTTGACACCTTATGCCATTGATCTGAGATATTAAAAACTACGACTTGTACAAAATCAATATATGCGAATGCTTGAAATATCAAGGATTTACATCACCAGGTTGATATAAGATAAAAAATTGGAAAATAAGCTCTTGTTGAATGCACTTCTTTGTTTCTTTTTTTTAATGTAAGTTTCATACGTAATTTTTTTTTTAGGTTACTTGGAGTTTCACTGGAGCACTCTTCTACTCCATTACAGTAATCACAACAATAGGCGAGTTCATTTATTCCATCATCTTTATTTCAATTAATCAGATTGTAAGCGTAATTACAAGTGGCCCTCCAGTGGCCCTCCATATTTTTGTTTTTAAATCTGATTATTTTCATTCGCGGTTTCTTCACAAAAGGAACTTCCGCATTTCATGGAGCTTTCGAAACACTGAAGACATTAATAAAATTAAATAGTTTACAAGTCCAAGGTATCAAAGAACTCCAGTTGTAACAATATTCTAGGATATGGACATATAGCGCCTAGAACTCCACTTGGTAAAGTTGTAACAATATTTTAGGATATGGACATATAGCTCCTAGAACTCCAGTTGGTAAAGTTGTAACAATATTCTACGCAATACTCGGAATACCTCTAACAGTTCTCTGTTGGTCAAATATCGGAGATGCAATGGCAAATGCGTTCAGGTAAAAATTATCAAATTAATTTGAAGTTACCATCGTCAACCATTTACATGGTATTCATTAGACAATTGTTGATGGTTCTCTACATTATTTAGATTCTCTTAAAGAGACTGTGGGCGTGATTTAAAGGGACCGTTCACTTATTTGGGTAATTACAGAGTAAACTAAATAGCCTATTCGCTCTTGATTGGCAATAGTCTTACTTTTCAAAGACAACTGTGGCCGGAGAAAAAGCCGATTTTTCGTTCAGAATTTGAGCGGAAAGGGACGGTTTTGATTTTTTTTTTTCAGTAACAGCAGCCCAATAACATTTAAATTTATTATATTTGAATGTCATTTTGTGTTCGTTATTATGTAAAATATGAAAACTTTTGATATTTGAGTTAGCAAGAAATTTACATTTTTCGTATTAAAACATATAAAATGTGTATACAAAGACGAAGTCTCTACGACAATTAATTAATCATTACTCGTATTTTGGTTCGTAGATTTTGTAGATTTTGTTCGCGTATGTGCACAACTTTTCATTTGTCATCCCGCGTTCAATTCAGCTTTTTACACAGGCAATACACAATTTTGAATGCAATAAAATAGTGTTATTTTAGAAATAGAAAGTTAAACAATAAAAAAATTACAAAATAATGACATTTACAATTAACGATTAGATACTACAGTTTAATTTTATATTCGAAATTTATTTTGATTCACAACATATTGAAAAAAACATCAATTAGTGTCTGTAGAGAGGGACCGTCCCTTTACGCTCGAATCCTGAACGAAAAATCGGCTTTTTCTCCGGCCACAGTTGTCTTTGAAAATTAAGACTATTACTAATCAACAGCGAATATGCTGTTTAGTTTACCCTGAAATTACTCAAATAAGTGAACGGTCCCTTTAAAGTCGCCCTCCATTTCTAACTTAGCTTCGTCGCCAAGAACTCAGTTTTCCATTGGAAATATCTTCGTTATTCTTGACTGTACAACGGTTTATAGGCGACTGTTTTCAATCTAACATGACATTTTAAAAATGAAGGATCTCTTGAAATTATGTCAGCAGTTTCGGTGAGATCCACCATTTTTAGATTCAAAACGAGATGGCAATCATTTTATGTAGTCACCATTGCAAACTGCTTCGTTAACGACCGTTAGTGAGGAACTTTCCAAGGCTCCCTAACAAATTTCAGTAAATTTTCCCAAATATTTCCTATTCGACCTTTTTGAAACAATTAACAACCCTACAACTAGGTAAAGACGACTTTTACTGTTCGACTCTAAATATTTTAGGTTTACATACTGGAAGATATGTTGCTATGTTTACACAAAGAAAACAAAGAAGAGAAGGAAAAGAATGCTCAGCAGACATAGAGCGTAAGATTTTAACATTTTTAGTTTTTCTGAAATTAAAAACAAAAGTTTTAAGTCATTCCAATCGACCTTTGTATAAATCTTAAAAAGTAAATGTGTCTGTAAAACTGTAAAACTGTAAAACTGTAAAATTGTAAAATTGTAAAATTGCAAAATTTATTTATTTTCAAAAATTTTGTTTAGAATGTCAACTCGGCATCCCCCGAGTGTATCAAGAAGAAAATCTGTAAGATCTAGAGTACAGAGACCTTCACAAAAATATCTAGACAGCAGACATTATGAGGTTTACCATTGAGAAAATATCTAGACAGCAGACATTATGAGGTTTACCATTGAGAAAATATCTAGACAGCAGACATTATGAGAATATTTGAGAGACAGAATATTTGAGAAACAGAATATTTGAGAAACAGAATATTTGAGAAACAGAATATTTGAGAAACAGAATATTTGAGAAACAGAATATTTGAGAAACAGTATATTTGAGAAACAGAATATTTGAGAAACAGAATATTTGAGAAACAGAATATTTAAGGAACAGTATATTTGAGAAACAGAATATTTGAGAAACAGAATATTTGAGAAACAGAATATTTAAGAAACAGAATGTTTGAGAAACAGAATATTTGAGAAACAGTATATTTGAGAAACAGAATATTTGAGAAACAGAATATTTGAGAAACAGATTATTTGAGAGACAGAATATTTGAGAAACAGAATATTTGAGAAACAGAATATTTGAGAAACAGAATATTTGAGAAACAGAATATTTGAGAAACAGTATATTTGAGAAACAGAATATTTGAGAAACAGAATATTTGAGAAACAGAATATTTGAGAAAGAGTATATTTGAGAAACAGAATATTTGAGAAAGAGTATATTTGATATTTGAGAAACAGAATATTTGAGAAACAGAATATTTGAGAAACAGAATATTTGAGAAACAGAATATTTGAGAAACAGAAAGGAAAGTACATGTAGCCGTTGCTTTACTTTGATCAATAATCATGTTGGTGGAGCCTTACTATATTTTAAACACAATTTTTTAAAAATTTTAGTTTATTTAAAACTAGGGTGTCCCACGAAACATGACAGTTGGTGAATAGTTTAGAATGTCTTCTTCCATAATTTGTTAAGTTGTTTGATACCAAAAACAATAATAAAAATACTATATGGGAGTCATGTTATAGTAAAATTGGTTTCTAAGTAAAATATGATTCAGAAAAACATTTTTTTACGGAATAAACATCAAAAAGCCTTTAATATCAAACAAAGTATATGAAAGACGACTTTTATAACTATTTACCAACTGTCATGTTTCGTCGGACACCCTGTATGTAGTATAGTACAACAATCATTGATAGAATATTTATTTTTATTTAGTTGTCTGTAGCAGGAATTGAAGGGAAGATGCCAGGATGGGAAGGTGAGAGTATAAATTATAAAGATAAAGGAATTAAGTTCTTGAAACAAACTATGATTTTCTAATATCTTTATAATCCGATGTCGCAGACCTTTACTTTTTCAAACTATAAATTCTATAAGATGAAATAGTCTAAGTTTCAAATATCAAAGGTTTACACCATCAGGATTCAAAGATATATGTATTTGAATATTATAATTTTTGGCAAGAACGGAGTTCCTTTTCCTTAATTAAAGATGTACACACTTCACACTGCACACTGCACACTGCACACTGCACACTGCACACTGCACACTGCACACTGCACACTGCACACTGCACACTGCACACTGCACACTGCACACTGCACACTGCACACTGCATTCTGCACACTGCACACTGCACACTGCACACTGCACACTAAACAATGAACATTCCTGTAAACTCCGGTCTCCATGGTTCAGTTAAAGTACATGACTGTGCAGTTAAGCAGCTAGATCAAGCTGTACAGTATTACATACAGACTAATAAGGCAAAACGGGACGGTACATTAAATGCAAATATTAATTAACAGATAGGACACTAGATGTCGTCTTTTCAAGATTTAGTGATTTTTCGTTTACAATAATCCTGAGACAGAAGCCAAACGGAGTTACGCGCTGTCGGCGTTTTAATTAATCTATGATGAAATTAATCCTCCCTTTCTGTCTGTAATAAATATCGTATAATTGTAAAAAATATCGTGTAACACAATATTGATAAAACTGAGCTACGTAACATGATTAAAACATGCACACTGTGATTAGATTAGCAATGTTTATATCTATTCTAAATACGTACATTCAACTTAAACTACGCTGTAAACATGTGTGGATTTAGCTTTGCATTGGCCATTTAAGAGCTTGTTTGATAGCTACGCTTGTGTACCTGTGTGATATTCAGAGTCGAGTAGATTGTGCCCGTTGGTTTGGCATTGATCAATTAAAAGCTTGTTTGATAGGTACGCTCGTGTCCGTGTGTAACATTCAGAGCCGAATAGATCATGCCCATTGGTATGGCATTGATTGTTTAAGAGCTTGTTTGATTGCTACGCTTGTGTCTGTTTTGACATTCAGAGTCGAGTAGATCATGCCCATTGGTTTGGCGTTGATTGTTTAAGAGCTTGTTCGATAGCTACGCTTGTGTCCCTGTGTAACATTCAGAGCCAAGAAGATTGTGCCCATTGGTTTGGTATTGATCAATTAAAAGCTTGTTTGATAGCTACGCGTATGTCCCTTTGCAACATTCAGAGTCGAGTAGATCATGCCCATTGGTATGGCATTAATCAATTAAGAGTTTGTTTGATAGCTATGCTTGTGTCCCTGTGTGACATTCAGAGCCGAAAAGATTGTGCCCATTTGTATGACATTGATCGCTTAAGAGATTGTTTCCTGATTGACAATCTGACATGTTGTGCGCGGATTGATACAGTTCCGGACGAAGTTTTAAGAGTACGGCATTTACTACATGTCAAGACCGTTGTGGATAAAAATACATCTATGTTAATAAATAATTCTTTTTTTCAAGCATACCAAGGGTGTTTACTTTCGGAGACAAATTTGATACAGACGTACCAAAATGTTTTTTTTTTTGAAAAACCAAAAAAGTTTGCAGGGTGATTGAATTTACATTTCAAATTTTATTTTAAATACAATAATTTTTTTTCATTTCAGATGGTAAATCAAGCCTAGGGGGAGGGGAGGGTAAATCTCCTCCTGTATTTGATGGTAAACCTATCCTCATGTACGATGGTAAGGTTTCTGAAGGGAAAACTGTACTGCTGCCGCCCAACCAGGAACATTATTGTACAATGTACACAATTTTATTGAATAATTTGATTTTCTAAATAAGTTATATAAAATGTGCTTTTGGAAAGTTGGCCACAGCTTTTTTCCCAAAAATATTCGAGAGATAACATTTTCGCACGTTTCGTAAAACTTTTACTTTATTTATATTTTGTGTTTTTGAAACACAAAAATTAAGTAAAAGACGCTTAAAATAATTTATATAAAAGTTTGATTTGTTTTTAGTTTAGGTTTTTTCGATTTATATAAACAATTGCCATGCAAATTGTATTTGTATACCGTGTTTATTGAACTTGAGATAATAAGATAAAATGTTATTTCTTTTCAGTAGGTCTCTAACTGTCTAACATAGATTGAAAAGCAGTGGTTCTTGTAAAAGTTAAACTTACTTTAAAGAAAAAGGGTGCTGATAAGTTGACTTGTATTTCACTGGTATAAAAATATATACAGAGTTTATATAGGTTCGTCTAAACAACGGAAATTATTGCGAAAAGGATTTGGCAACAATTTAGCAACAGTTTTGCGTGAGTTGAGTCACTTGTTTATTATGAGTAAATCGATTTTATATTAAAGGTTGAATTCTCAAACAGAAGAATACAGTGGTAAGCGATTATATCAATACAATGAAGACGACTTTTTATTTATGTTTTAATTGTTAACAAGCTTTTTTCTAATTACAAGTTTACAAGTAATCAAAGAGAAGCTTTTCATTAATTAAAAGCTTCTCTTGACACTTATGTTTAAGTGTGTAAATGCTGTTTAAATGCTGATTTAAAAAAAATTGAAATCGAAAGTCGTCTTCATTATATTGATATAATAATGTTTACTAAAAAAAGAAAAGAAAAATATGATTTTAATTCTGGGTTGTTAATAACAGTCAAACTTATAGAACTGGTAACACCCTTTGAAAGCAAGTATATTTTTATTGTACATTGTACAGTAAGTACAGAAGAGAAAAAAACTATGAAAGTAATTAAATTTTTATTGGCAATAAATCGTCAATTTGGCTGACTACTGTACATACAAGGTACATGAACTGAATTTATTTCCGCCTTAATAACGTACAGTGTACATGTGTCAACAGGTTCCTGAACTAAGCGGGGTAGGCCCTGGCAGGTACAGTTTAAAGAAAATAATTATTTACAACTACTGTACAGGGATGATAAGAGAATTTTAATTTACCAATGGGTCCCCAAGACTGAAGTCAAAGTTGGTAAAGGGAACACGTGGTTAAGAAAAATGCTTAATTTTCCGAAAAAGTAGTTTTACACAATTTATCTTTTGAGAAAGTTTTTCGCCTAAAACATCACAGAACGGGTGGTTATTTTGCATAACTGTCCCAAGGGATGTTAGGTAACTTAACCTCCCTCTGATGGGAGAATCATATAGGTCGGTACTGTTGGTCAAAAGGTGTTAAAATAATTACTTATTTTTTTGTACTTTGTGAAAAAAAAATAAAAACAATCTCGCGTGAAATTTCCGGAAGTTGTTAATAAATTTCCATGTTTATAGAGACACCCGGTAGTAACCATGAAAGTTTTGTAATGTTACAGAAACCTGTAGACATTATTATAAAGAAACCTGTAGACATTATTATAGAGAAACCTGTAGACATTATTATAGAGAAACCTTTACTTAAAGAGTTATAATTCACATCAGTACCCTTTAAAACATTTTCTGATTAACATTGATAAAGATATTGTCGTTTTTCTGGCTTTTACAAAAATCTGTCAAATCTTTGTTTTTTTTCTTTGCTGTATATTTTAGAAACGCCTATTAATAACTTTTAGATATGATAACAAAGATATTTTGCTCGAAAAAATATTTAAATAATATTGTTGTCAAGCAATTGAGAAATTATCAGAATTGAACACCTTTTAAGTCAGGGAATCGACGATATCTTCCACATTTTAGATCAGATAAAGTTTTCAAGGGTACCGTTGTAAATGGGTGCCATCTTTCACATTGAGATTACGCTTACAGTCCCTTTAAATAGAGGATTGATTGCATGAAATAACAATAAACCCCTCTTGAAGATCCTATTTCTCCAGGTCCGAAAACTCAGCGGAAGATAATAACCTAAACTTCGTGGTTCAGTGTGAAGCTGCTCCTCCGGCAGAGTCTGGCGGAAACCAAGAACCCCCGAAAAGTCCTAAAGTATCGACTCCTCTGGTGGAATTATCGGAGAAATTAGAAATCAAAGATCCGGAGAAAGCTTCTGTTAAAATCTCCGAGAAGGCTGGGGAGAGAATGAGGGAGGTGTCGGACAAGATGATAAATAAGATAAAAAGCGCTAAAAAATCCGCAAATCTCTCATTGGATTTTGATCCCAAGAAGCTGGAAATATACAGGGTAAGAAACCTCTCAACCCTTAAACACATTTATTAAAATTTTAGCAAGTAATTTATGAAAGTTCACCTACATTACTTCCACAGTCCCTTTCCTACATTTATTATTATTTATACTTTCAGACGCCCCCTGACACGGAAATATCTATCGGAGCCTCTCCCACAGGAGAGGACATGAAAGGGTTAAACGCTAGAGCTAGAGCTATCCTAAGGGCTGAGAGGGACTCTCAGAAGTCCCAGTAGAAATCCTGTATACGCCCTTTATTATTTGGAAATAAAATACTACTTATTTTATATTATGCTACAAAGTGAGATTAAATTGTTTATTTTTTTTAAAGAGGACAGAGAGTAGCAAGAGTTAATGATGAGTATGACGACCAATCATATTATGAGGTTAGAGATATCTTCTTTATATATATTCAAATAATAAATCTAATTGCTACATTATAATCAGGAGTACTACTATGACGAGAGTGAGGATGATCTAGATGAGGTCTCTAAGCGTCCTGTTCCTATTCTTCTCTCCATCCTACTTGTCGTAGCTTACATCGTGGGAGGAGCATTCCTATTCCAGATGTGGGAGGGATGGTCATTCTTAGACAGGTAGTTGGTGTATGGTGGTCATTCTTAGACAGGTAGTTGGGATAGGGTGGTCATTCTTAGACAGGTAGTTGGTGTGTGGTGGTCATTCTTAGACAGGTATTTGGTGTATGGTGGGTTAGGTTAGGTTAAAACACTTCCTGGGCCGAGCCCTGAGGCTCGGACAGGCAAGAGGCAGAGCCCTGCGGCTCGGACAGGCTACGGGGCCAAGCGACCGTGTATATGAACTAAATAAAGATAATAATGTGTTTAAAACAATTCGAATAAAAAAAGAAAAGTATTAAATATTCCAGTATTCGACCGCAGCACTTTATGGAAAAGGTCGATTTTTGGTTTAATGAGAATCAGAAAGTGCATACTGCATATACTGCATATACTGCATATACTGCATATACTGCATATACTGCATATACTGCATATAAAAAGTGCATTAAAAAATTTACCACTTGTTCCGGATAATTAGAAGGAGGAGGAGGGGCATCATTAACAAATTCAAATCAGAAAAGGGCCAAAAATGAGAATGCCATGTGAATGCCTTTATAGTAAGATTAGATTTTTTAAAATTGTTGTGGGAAGATAAGATTAACAATGGTTAACAATAAATAGTTTGCCATGACGTCCATATGTATCTATATAATCTATATACGTACAGTGGTCAGTGATTTTATCAATACAATGAAGACGACTTAAAATTCGATAATGATTTAGAACAAGCTGTTTTCAATTAACGAGTTTACAAGAAAACCAAGAGAAACTGTTAATTGACAGGTTTTTTCATGTTTATATGTATCCATGCTGTTTTAAAGCTCGGTATAAATCAAAATTGAAATCGAAAGTCGTCTTCATTCTATTGCTAAAACTGAAAACGACTTTACACTATTTTTAGTGCTTATTTCTGCTTCATCACTTTGACCACGATTGGTTTTGGTGATCTCACTCCAGACCAGAAGAATGTCGATGGAGAACAGAGGTATTATCATAAATTAATAGCAACACAGATAGAACTCTAAATGTCGTCGTTTCAATCGATTTAGGGGTTTTTCGTTCACAATAACCCTGAGGAAGAATCCCAAAGGAGTTACGACTTACGCTCAGTCGTCGTAGAACAGACTCGCTCTCTGTCTTGTAATTCTGTGCAGAATGCGCGTAATTCCTTTGGGCGTCTGTCTCAGGGTTATTGTGAACGAAAACCCCCTAAGCCTTAAAAAGACGACATCTAGTGTTCTTTCTGTGTTGTTATTAATCAATGTGTAGTATTAACACCGTCAGAGTGGTGTTTATTGTTTTGGTTCGTTTATTTAAAACTGTCTACACTTCAAAACTGATTTGGTTAAAGTTTGCTATCATTAATAGTTGCAATATTCTTGTCCTAAAAAAAAGAAAAACGAACCAAAAAAACACGATAGAATTAGCACGTATTTTGGGTCGCTTTTGCATATATTTTCTCTCAATGTCAAAATTTGGCAAAGTGTAAAAAAATCAAAACGTTTTACAATTTACTAACTGTGTAGTGTGTAGGATATTCCGTCTCACAATAATTATCAATATGTTCCCCAAAAAATTTTCTAAAAATATAAAATAATATTCAAAATTTGGCTCAATATTATTTATTAAATATAAAATTGCCCATTTTTTCACAAATATTTTATCAGAATTTCTTTTTTTTAAGTTTAAAAGGTTTATTTATGAATCCCAATCGCGTATTATGGTTCAACGCAATGATAAATTGATTATATAGAAAGAAATAACAATTGATTTATTTTTATCTTTCATTGAAATATATCTAAATATTAGGATCGCGCTGTGCTCTATCTACCTGCTGTTTGGAATCGCTATGATCGCGATGAGCTTCAACTTGGTGCAGGAAGAGGTGATTAGCTCGGTAAAATCGGTCGGCAAAATGCTCGGGATCGTCAAGGATAATGATGATGAGGAGGACTATTAAAAGGCTGATGTAATTATCCTCTGATAACCCTTTAAAGGGACTGTAAGCGTATACTTAATTGGCCCATTTCAAGATGGGTATCACATCACATCGATTCACAAGGGTACCCTTTAAACCTTTGAGTTTTAGCTAATGTCAGATATCCTTGTTAATCTACTGAAATGCTTTTAATCGTATAACACTTTGTTAGAAAACTCTTATATATTTTTAAATAATAAATATTTACTTTTTAGAAGTGATAAAAATAAGAATTTACTTTCAAATGTTTGAAAACCGATTTGAACGAAAAAAGACGACATTTTCAAGGAACTCTATAGTAACGAAACATCTGTGTTGAGTTCACGCAGCGATCACCGGGTTTTAAAACAGTTATTTAAAGATTTACACACAGAGCTCTCGCTACTCGGTGAACACACAAAGGTTTAAAGGATACCGTTGTAGATCAGGCATAGCACTCACTGCATGGAGGGTTACTTGAAACTACACTTACAGTCCCTTTATTACCCACTAATTGCCCTGTAATTACTCTTTAATTACCCTGTAATTACTCTTTAATTACCCTGTAATTACTCTTTAATTACCCTGTAATTACTCTTTAATTGCCCTGTAATTACTCTTTAATTACCCAGTAATTTCTCTTTAATTACCCTGTAATTACCCTCTGATTACCCTTAAATAAACCACAATGATATTGTATTTTGAAGACAGTATTTTATTTGTAGTTATTTAGATTTTGTTATATTTGAAATGATGAATAAAAAGATAAATACAAAAAATTAGAAACCATGAATTTTGTATGGATTGGACAATGACGTAGCCATGGTCGTGTTTTAAAGAAATATATTACAATAAGGAACAATTAGGAAATCGGAGTTAAAGAAACTGATTCCATCTTATCTGTGTACTAAATGAGATTTTTTACACAATTTACGCCTTTAAGTGTATTATTTTTTTCAGAGCATCATTTTTTTCCTTGATAAGGGACTCAGAAACATAAGCTTTATTAACTACTAGCTTGGGAACCCAGCGTTGCTCAGGGTAGTCATTGTTACTCCCGTCGTTGGTCATCAATTTCGGTTTTAGCTATTTTCCTGATAAAACCTACTCAATCTAGAAGCTGTAAACCAAGCTAAGACCATTCCCAAGTTCCCCAATCTGAGTTCGAGGCAAATTTATTCAGGGGTTCCTGAGTTATGATCGGACAAACAGAGATTATAAAGTCATATAGATACAAATTAAAAGATTCAGAAGAGGAGTTTCAAAATGTATCTGAGGGACACGGAATACTTTTGTCTTTTTAAGGACCTTTGAAAGCTATTTATTTAGCCCTATTTTGTCCCCTGAAACCTGTACGTGATTTCTGCTATTAAATGAGCTTTCTCAATTTTGATGACAAAAATGTACCATAATAGGCTTTTGCGCCCATCTTCTATTTAAATTGTGAACATGTTCTTCTTGTTTACATTTTAAAACAAAGAAGAAAAACATTTTGCGGGTTTTTAAAAAAATTCGCGGATTTTTAAGAATTTAATTTTTTTTACAAATTTAAAAACCTTTAAAACACCTTTTTTTAAATGTTTATCATTCATAAACCTTTCCTGTGGTCACGTGATGTCCCACAAAAAATTTGGGACCGATCGGTTCAGCCGTTTTGACGTTTATTGGATTTAAACTGCAAACAAACAAACAGACAGACAAGCCAAATTTATATATAGAAGGATTATAGATTAACCCTATCTCTGCACCCCCCCCCAGCAGGAAAAGGGTTAACAACATATTTGATTAAAAATCACAATTACATTTTACATTTAAAGACTAAATTTTAAAAGCTCTTTGGTAGATCGTAATATACATCCTGAACATACTGATTCTTGAATCTTTTTTCAAACTTTCGTAGTCGATCTGATACATACTTGAGATTAGAGAGAGCAGCCTGTTTGTTAAACCCTATCTTGTTTTTGGTTCCAAATCCATCCTTGTCGGAGTTAGATTCGTTCTTGTCGGAGCTATACCCATTCTTGGAGTTAAATCCATTCTTGTCGGAGCCAAATCCATTCTTGTCGGAACCAAATCCGTTCTTGTTAGAGCCAAATTCGTTCTTGTCGGAGTCCAATCCGTTCTTGTCGAAAATAAATCCCCCGACGTCTTGACTAAACTCACCAAATCCACCCGAGTTGAAACTAGGACTAAATCCTGTTGCTTCCGGAGTTACTTCCGGAGTTTTCTTGGATTTCTTCTCTACAAGCTGGATTAGGTTCTCTTTAGGTTTAGGTGCTCCGCCTAGGAAGGATGGGGGAGGAAACTGAATCCTGTTTGGGTTTTCTCGTGCAGGGATCTAGGAAAACATTTGATTAAAAACAAATCGCTGCTCAGAATTTTTTTAATCCTAATGATCTTTCATGTCATTTTTGATTTAGAAATCAGACCCGAATATATAGTAAGGGGGGGGGGGAATCTTTAAGTACCTTGAAAAATAATCCTAGATGTTTCAATTTCAAAAAAAATTTGGATTACTGCTTTGCTATTTATTGTGCAGATTCTAAAAATAGAGCCCAAGAGCTTTCAGTAAATGTTATTTAAACTTAACATTACACACCGTGTAAATATATGGTTTAAACATACCCAACAGACAGGGGAAAAATGGTGGGAAGGGGGGGGAATGGTGGGGGGGGGGGGAAAAAATCGCATGCTGACCTGTTTAACTACGCCGGCAATGAAAGGAGCACCGAGTATAATATTTCCTATAACAGAGATTGCAAGAAGGATGGAGAGAACACTCTCATTAGATGAACTAGCACCAGGAACCGATACTGTCACATCCCCAACTTTCTCACTAGACAACGATATATGAAAGGAATGGAGTAGGTCTGGGTCCTGTAATAATGCTAATATTTTTTTTTAAATGTTTAAATATCAAAAATCCATTTTTAAAAACATTAACCTGGCACTGCTAACAGCTTGTTGTGATTGAAGCACTACACTCTTTTGTAACTTTTCAAGTTCCTGTTTTGCAACCTTAAATTTTAAAAAATTGAAATATTTATAAATTTTTTTTAAATGCACTCCAATGTACGGAAAATGTCATCTCCAAAGCAATGGACATTCATTTAATAAGTGACGTCATTTACGGAGTTCACTGTCCATTACTTAGAAGACGACATTTCCCGTACATTGTGGAGCGCAACGAAAGTAAGCAATCTAACAAAGTAAGGATAAGTTAGGATAACCGCACAAATTGAAGGTTTATGGGCATGGGCAACGCCATGTACGCGTCTGTAAACATAACACCGGATTTATCTTTTACCTGGATATATTATTGTATATCACTGGATAGTAGATATATTCTATACCTGGATATATGATTGGATATCACTAAATAATGGATATATCCTATACCTGGATATCTTATTGGATATCACTGGATAACGGATATATTCAATACCTGGATATATGATTGGATATCACTGGATAATGGATATATTCTATACCTGGATATCACTGGATAACGGATATATTCAATACCTGGATATCTGATTGGATATCACTAGATAATGGATAAATTCTATACCTGGATATTACTTGATAATGGATATATCATATACCTGGATATCTGATTAGATATCACTGGATAATGTATATTTCCTATAGCTGGATATCACTTGATAATGGATATATTCTATACCTGGATATCACTGTATAATGGATCTATCCTTTACCTGGATATTATCGTATAATAGATATGTCCTATACATGGATATCACTCAATAATGGATATATTCTATACCTGGATATCACTGGATAATAGATTTATCCTATAACTGGATATCACTTGATAATGGATATATTCTATACTTGGATATCACTGTATAATAGATATATATATATCCCATACCTGGATATCTGATTGTATATTACTGAATAATTTATATACCCTATACCTGGATATCACTGTATAATAGATATATATATCCCATACCTGGATATCTGATTGGATTGATACAAGTTCTGTTCTCCGCTGAGTAACCTCTGTTGACAACGGAGCTAATTCATTCTTCATCCTAAAAGAATCCGTATTACAAAAAAAGATCGATGGAATCAACCCCCCCTCCCCTCCCCCCGGCCTCTCGAACTTTATATCAGAGTTTAAAAACATTTTTATCCACAAATTTTGATAAGTATTTGTTCAATGATTAAAACTAAAGCAAGAAACAAATGCTACAGTTCTAAAATGTACAGTTCAATAAAACTTTAAACTTTAAAACAAACCCAGTCCTGAAAATTGATGAACTTTTCGATCGAAAGCTGACTTTCTTTTAAAAAGTTCAAAAGCGATTTAAATAAGTTTTCTTGAATATTTTTAATCATAAAGGGAGAGACCGGCTATATAACATATTTGAACTGAGAATGCAGTATTGTATATAAAAAAATTTTAGGATTCATTTGATACCAATGAGACATTTTTACACAGTGTACAATTTTTAAATAACAGCGTAAAGTCGTTTGTGATATTTCACCAGTTGTTTCAGTCAGCAGAAGAAACGTTTTTTTTACAATTCTTTAACAATATGGACAAAGAAGTTACTAATACTATTCTACAAACTAGTTGCATGTATACAGCTGTTAATTTATTTTCTCTGTCGTCTTTGCTTTGTAATTAAAATTTCGTAAAAAAAGAACAAAGAAGTTTCTTTAAAAACAAGTAATTGTCTTTTTAAAAGTTTTTAAATTAAATTTCCGTCAAATTTTGTTCAACTTATTTCTTCCTGATTTACCTTGTACTGTGAAGTTTCTCCGTCTCAACCAGATCCAGGACGGATTTCTTCTCCTCCAGTAGCTGGGATACACTGGAGCTAAGTTCCTTCTTTTGCTCCAGTAGCTGGGATACACTGGAGCTAAGTTCCTTCTTCTCCTCCTGTAGCTGGGTAATACTGAAGCTAAGATCTCTTTTCATTGAGTTTAATTTCAGAACATCAGAGGATAAAACACTTCGTTCCTAACAAATCAAAATATTTTTATTTTGAACAAAGAAACTGATTACTTACCACAAGCTTTAAATTTTTTATTCACAAACTTTGCAACCTGATTTCGTAGATCTTTCAAAACAATCAATTTTGCAAGATGAGTTCGTCAAAGTTTAAAATGGTTTCAGCCACCATGTTGCAAAGATTAGAAAATTAGAATTTTAGGCAAAATTTAATTTCTATAATGAATTTAACTTTTTATTTAACTTTTCATAATGCATATATTGTGGCGGCTATGAAAGTCGTCTTTCCTTAGAGAACTTCTCGCGGCATCGAGAAAGAAAAGGGGAGTTTTCCAGAAGCCACGTAGTAAAAAGATGTGATTATAAAACATGGCATATTTCTAACTTTGTAAGTTTAAATTAAAAATATAGTTAGGCGTTATCAAATCCTCGTCTTATTTGCCGTCCGCCAAAATATATATAAATATCAGCTAATGTTGACTTTGATGCACAATTTGTCAATTTTTTAATATTTTTGTTATAGACCTGGATTCCGCCAAAAAAAATGAATTCAATTATATTTATAGAGCCAAATAACTTTTCAAAAATATGAAATACTAGGCCTTTTGGGCACTTCGCGCGCCAAACTTCCATTACAATTGTGAAATTGAAAACCCAAATTATTTTGGAGGCAAATTTTTGAAATTTTGATCATTTATAAACCTGTGGTCATGGTCCCACACAAAATTTTGGCCCGAGCGGTTCAGCCGATATTACGTTTATTGAATACAAACACCCTGACAGACAAGCAAAGTAAATATGTTTCACAATAAGGGAAAAGAAGGCAGTTTATTATTGACAAAGGACAGATTGGAATGGAAATGGATTCAGTACCTGACCAAGGTCCACAATATAACCTTTCAAAGCATTTTTATCTTCTTCAAGCTCAAAAACCTAAAAATACTTTTTTTACTTTTTTACAATTCCTTTGCACATAAGAATTTTAGCTTTTTTTTGATGCTGTAATGCTTTTTGTTTGCAAAGAAGTTAATTTATTTTGCAAGAAAATTCTTTAAGTCTTGATATTTTTGTACATTCGTAAAACAATGTAATAAGAAAAAGTAATGAATTGTATTTGTAAATAATACCTCCGACTTGATCTTTTGCAACTTTTCACTCTGTTCTCTACAAAAGAAAAAACAATAATTAAAATAGAGATTTTATATGACCATAATTTTCTTTTTTTAACTTAGGAAACGTTTAGGTAACCCGTGGTTAAGAACTTTGCAAAGCAGGTAGTTATTTGACTTGTTTGTCCCAAGGGACGTTAAGTAACATAACATCCTAATGTTGGTGAAATTATCATAAGTCGGTAATGTTTGTGAAAAGGCGGTTAAAATATTGTCAAGCTTGAACTAAGATGAAGGTTTATAGAATATCATTGTGAAGGCATGTATTTCTTTGAATTAGTGGTATTACTGATATTAATGTGGACATAGCTGGGATATATACNGCTAAGCTAGGAAGTCGCAGCTAAATCATAGCTAGAACCGGACAAAGAAACCGGGCTAATGTTAGTAACCAGACAATACTGATGGGTTACCAAGCAACAGTGAACGGCGTTTATTTTAATACAATAAAGACGACTTTTCGATTTAATTTCTAACACGCTTTTTTCAAATTACAAGAATAATAAGTAAAATAAAAAGGGGTGTTAATTGATATTTTTTATTAAAAGAAAATATAAAATCTAAATTGATGGGAAATTAGTTCCAATAGTTAGAAATGGGCCCAGTGTTAGTTTTGGAACTAATGTCCCCTGAAATTAGCTATTTGAAGCAAACGCATGCACTCCATTGTAAAGGGTGTAAGAAGAGTACGAAGATGTATGAATAATAATGATTGCTGGTATTTATCTTGTCAATACTTGATCAATACACGTTCTAGCTTCAAGGTGTAGAAGAAGTAAGAGATAATACAAAGGGGATACAGGAGGAAATTTCGTTAGAATACAGGATACAGANGAGAATACAGGGATACAGGAGAATACAATGATACAGGAGAATACAGTGATACATGAGAATACAGGGACACAGGAGATTATAATAGGGATACAGGATAATACAGGGATACAGAATAAAACAGGGATACAGGATAATACAGTGATACAGAAGTATACAGGGATACAGGATAATACAGGGATACAGAAGTATACAGGGATACAGAAGTATACAGGGATACAGGAGAACAAGGGATTCAGAGATACAGTAAATTTCAAAGATTCCAAAGATACAGGAGAATACAGGGAAACGGGAGAATACTAGGATACAGGAGAATACAGGGATACAGGACAACACGGGATACAGAGGGATACAGGGATACAGGTGGAAACACAGATACAAGGATACACAGATAGATGAAAACATGAGAAATTGTCTATCTGAAGTAAATCTATAATAATAAATCATTACCTGGGACCACATGTCTATTTCATGCTAACCACAACACATCAAGCCAGATATGTACGTAAACCACACAATCCAAACTTCGTTGTAGCAAAACAATATGCACAGAACCAAATGTTCTTGTAAATCCAACAGATGATGCATCTTTAATAAACATTTTGTTGTTTACAACATAACACATGGCAAAATTTCCCATTTATGAATTTCGTTTAATATGATCCCACGCATTCATTAAGTTTTCAATCCGTAAAAATAAAATGTAAACATTAAAATGTAAACATTAAAATTTAAACATTAAAATGTAAACAATAAAATGTAAACAATAAAATGTAAAAAAATAAAATGTAAACAATAAAAAATTGGTCAATCACAAGTGTAGATAAAAGTGTAATCGTTGTACAGTGTACATACATATGAAGATAAAAGTGTAATCGTTGTACAGTGTACATACATTGAAGATAAATGTGTAAACGCTGTACAGCGTGCACACATATGAAGATAAAAGTGTAATCGCTGTAAAATGTACATACATATGAAGATGAAAGTGTAACCGCTGTACAGTGTACATACATCTGAAGATAAAAGTGTAAACGCTGTACAGTGTACATACATATGAAGATAAAAGTGTAATCGCAGTCCAGTGTACATACATATGAAGATAAAAGTGTAACCGCTGTACAATGTACATACATATGAAGATGAAAGTGTAACCGCTGTACAGTGTACATACATCTGAAGATAAAAGTGTAATCGCAGTCCAGTGTACATACATATAAAGATAAAAGTATAATCGCAGTCCAGTGTACATACATATAGAGATAAAAGTGTAATCGCAGTCCAGTGTACATACATATAAAGATAAAAGTGTAATCGCAGTCCAGTGTACATACATATAAAGATAAAAGTGTAATCGCTGTACAGTGTACATACATATGAAGATAAAAGTGTAATCGCAGTCCAGTGTACATACATATGAAGATAAAAGTGAAATCGCTGTACAGTGTACATACATATGAAGATAAAAGTGTAATCGCAGTCCAGTGTACATACATATGAAGATAAAAGTGTAATCGCTGTACAATGTACACACATATGAAGATAAAAATGTCAAAACTTTTTCATTGACTATCTTGCTAAAAAGCTTTCCTAAATACCAATTTTGATTACAGATGCTAATAGCATTTGGATCTAAACCTGGAAAGATGTTAGACAAAGTAATTAAGTACAATTTAAATTAGAACGATGGTCTGAGGCCTTATAATACAGAATCAATGAAAACTAACGTACAAGTGCTTTAGAAATTTTTCTTTATTTCGTTTTTATCTTGTTCAGCTTACAGATCTTAATCTCTATATTCTACTATTCAGACTAATTATCATGTTCAGTTTACAGANAGATAGACAGATAGACAGATAGACAGATAGACAGATAGACAGATAGACAGATAGACAGATAGACAGATAGACATATAGACAGATAGACAGATAGACAGATAGATACATAGACAAATGGACAGATGGCTCCTTCTTCATTTCTCTTTTTCTCGTATTTGACGTTTTTTCTTTTTTTTTAAATACTTAAGTTTAAGCAGAGCAGTTATTTTTTGGAAATTTTCCACTGTTCAACTAAATTTATTAGTTACAGACACAGTTTACAGTTTGCCACCTTTCCAGGGGGGGGGGTACGTAAATGTATTTAACTCTTTGAAAACCATAGCGG